GAAAGGGGAGATCCCCTTCCTTCCGCCCCCCACCCTATACTTAGCCGTCAGTCATCCACATTTGCTCTGTAATGCTGAAGGCCTTCTACTACCATCCCAATCAGTTATAATTAGGGATGAGCTCCGCTTCAGAATGAACACGGTCCCAACTTGAGCTCCTCTATGCCACCCAATCAGCTGCTGGTGGGGAAACCCCCCCCCCCCACATAAGCAAAGGGGTAAGATTGCGTGATGTCATTGACCTTATAAGGCTACATGCCTATATTTAGTATATGGCTATATAAGGTAAATGACATCAGCACAACCATCCCGCCCCTTTGCATGCAGTTGCAGGGTGGGGGATGCCCCGGCCCGCAGCTGAATTGGTGGAAGCGCCTTGATCAGAGGAGCACAGGTTCAGACCAAGATTCGCCCGCTCTCGCTTGTGCACTTGATGCCAAAGTGTCACAGTGACAACACCATGGCAACAAGTAACTGACGGCCAACCAGATCAATCCATTTGCAGAATCTAGTAGATCAAGAGGGGAGGGGCTACATGAAAGGGCAGAAGTAACAGCTGTCTCTTGATACGCCAGGTTCACAAATGGCTCCCAAAGAAGGCGGAGCTTGTGTTTCCTGAGCAAAGGTCATTTTAATGAGAACCTGTCACTTGCTCCTCAACCCCAGGGGGCAAGGTGACAGGTCCTCTTTAAATGAGTTTCATTATGACGTATACGTTTTGTCTGAACAAGGAATTCTCTGCACAGCCCCCTCACACCTGCAGACACCTGAGTCCTAGGCTGTTCGTGTCCATACCATACGTACACCTTATAGCACTCACACCCCCGCCACCAACACTAGAACTACACTCACCTCCCGCACTGACAGCTCTTCCGTCGTGGGTAAATCCACGGTCCCGGGCATGGCAGCTTCTGTCCCGGGAAGGTCAGCTCACCGCGCATGCGCCATACGTCTCTCCTCTGGGGCACGCAGCTACGCGCTGACGTCATCACGTCTTATCCCTTTTCTTTTCCCCCCTTCTCACCCCAAGAAGTAACTTCGTAACTAGAATTAAGAACGGAGCCGAACAGTTTTATTCGTCGTTGGCCTCTGATACGTTTGGTGTCTGCGTTATCTTAGTTTGTATTGTCGGGGATTTTCTCCTACCGCCTGAGCGGCCATGGATGTCACGTGACCCTGGTTACCCTGGCGAAGCGTCTCGGTTTGGGTTGCCATGGTGACGCCGTGGTCCACCGAGGTCTAAAGATGGAGTACACGGGCAGCCAGTACCAAGGGGAGCGGCGGGAGGAGAGGTACTGGCAGCATTGTTGGGCAATCTGTTACTTACCTTTTCGATGGCATGTGGCTTTAAATGTCACAGCAATACTGCTCCCCTTTCTGGTATTTAACCAGTCGGATTGGTAGAATAGCAGTATCCCCCCCTTTCTGCATGCAATGGTTCCTTCCACCTGTAGTGGCACATGAGTCGGCAGGAGAAACTATTGCGTGTAATGGGGGCAGCAGGTATTTGACTGCTCAAATACCTGCACGTAGTGGTTTCCCCCCCACCTTTAGTGACACATGAGGCAGCAGGGCAAACCATTACGTGCCATGGCAGGGGAGCAGGCATTTGACTAGTCAGATAAGTGTAATAGCTGCCCCCCCCCCCACATGCAAAGGTTGTGGGGGTCACATAGTGAGGCATGAGGCAGCAGGGCAAACCATTACGTCCCATTGCAGGGGAGCAGGCATTTGACCGGTCAGATGAGTGTAATACCTGCTCCTCCCCTCCAGATGAAATGGTTCCTCCCACCTGTAGAGACACATGACACAGCAGGAGAAACCTTTATGTGCCATGGCAGGGGAGCATACATTTAACTGGTCAGATAAGTGTAATAGCTGCTCCTCCCCTCCACATGCAATGCTTCCTCCCACCTGTAGTGACACATGAGGCAGCAGGAGAAACCATTACGTTGCATGGGAGGGGAGCAGGCATTTGACTGATCACATGGGTGTAATAGCTGCCCACCCACATGCAAAGCTTGCTCCCACCTGTAGTGACACATGAGGCGGCAGGGGAAACCATTACATGCCATGGGAGGGGAGCAAGCATTTGACCGGT